GCCCTCGCCCGGAGGTTTGGACCCCCATTTCTCTCTCTCTCTCTCTCTCTCTCTCTCTCTCTCTCTCTCTCTCTCTCTCTCTCTCTCTCTATTTCGTGTGTGAAATGCCATCAAGTCACAGCTGACTTGTGGCCACCCCGGTCAGGGGCTTCCAAGGCAAGGGAGAAGCAGAGGTGGTTTTCCGTTGCCTTCCTCTGTAGAGCCTCCCTTGGCAGTCTCCCTTCCAAGTACCGACCCTGCTTGGCTTCCAACTTATGGCGACCCCAGCAAGGGGCTTCCAAGGCAAGGGAGAAGCAGAGGTGGTTTTCCATTGCCTTCCTCTGTACACCCTTCCTTGGTGGTCTCCCTTCCAAGTACTGACCCTGCTTAGCTTCCAACTTATGGCGACCCCGGCAAGGGGCTTTCAGGGCAAGGGAGAAGCAGAGCTGGCTTTCGGTTGCCTTCCTCTGTAGAGCCTTCCTTGGCAGACTCCCTTCCAAGTACCGACCCTGCTTGGCTTCCAACTTATGGCGACCCAAGCAAGAGGCTTCCAAGGCAAGAGAGAAGCAGAGATGGTTTTCCGTTGCCTTCCTCTGCGGAGTCTTCCTTGGCAGTCTCCCTTCCAGGTATGAACCCTGCTTAACTTCCAACAATGGTAACCCCGGCAAGGTGCTCACCAGGAAAGTGAGAAGCAGAGGTGGTTTTGCCATTGCCTTCCTCGGCAGAGTCTTCCTCAATGGTCTCCTTTCCAATACCGGCCCTGCTTAGCTTCCAGCTTACGGTGACCTCAGGAAGGGGCTTTCGAGGCAAGTGATTCAGCAGAGGTGGTTTGCCGTGGCCTTCCCCTGCAGAGACTTCCTTAGTGGTCTCCCTTCCAAGCACTGACGCTACTGAGCTCCTGAGGTCTGACCAGATTGGGCTGTACCCTGCTGGCTCCCACCTCCTTTCTCTACTGGGGATATTCTCCAGTGGCACTGCAGGTATGCATGGCCCTACCCCTACCCCTTGTCCGATCCAGTTTGGGGGGGCCGAGGAGATACAGGCGTGCCCCCCCTTCAGCATTTTCTTGCACATTACAGACCCACTCTGCCATCCTCCCTCCTGCCATTTTGAGACCCTGAAGGACCACACGGGGGCATCCTAGGGTCATTTTAGTTTTAGTTGTCTGGAGAGGTTGCTGTTGGGAAGACCAGGTGCCAAAGAGGCCGGGGCGTCTGTCCTTGTGGTTGCGTGGAAAAGATTGTGCAGTTGTGGAACCCCTGCAGCTCCTGCTGAGACTTGCTATTAAAGTCATGGGCCCACCTCGCTCTCCCCCTTGGCATCTCTCCACCTTGGGCACTGCTATCCCTCAAGAAAACCAGAACTGAGATATTTTCTTTACAGTTTCAGCCAGATTAGAGAAAACATATTTTTGGGGCGTGAGCTTTCGAAGCTCTGTTCACAGGACCATATTAACCCATGGCCGGGACCCTAGGCTTTCAGATACTTCAGGGCACCTCCAGCACTTCAGTCTTTCACCCCACTACAGCTGACAGCCTGCCCCTGGTACGGTGGCTCTAAGCTGAGTTAGTGTGAGCTAGCTCACAGTTTTTGAGCCTCCGGCTCTCACATTTTTGTCTTAGCTCAGGAAGGGTGGGTCCAGAGGAAACTAATTTTGCAGCAGACAAATCGCTCCCTCACAACTTTAATGCTAGTAGCTCACAAAGTAGAATTTTTGCTCACAAGACTCCACAGCTTAGAGGGAACATTGGCCCGGGACCCTAGGCTGTCAGATATTTCAGGGCCCCTCCGGCACATCAGTCTTTCACCCCTCTACAGCTGACAGCCTGACCTTGGTACGGTGGGTACCAGGAGTTATCAGTAGAGAGTGTTCCCTCTAAGCTGAGTCAGTGTGAGCTAGCTCACAGTTTTTTAGCCTCCAGCTCACAGATCTTTGTCTCAGCTCAGGAAGGAGGGCTCCAGAGCAAACGAACTGATGCAGCAGCCAAATTGCTCACTCGCAACTTTAATGCCAGCAGCTCACAAAGTAGAATTGTCGCTCACAAGACTCCACAGCTTAGAGGGAGCATTGGAGAGAGCCCTTGCTTATTTAAAGTTATAGACCAGCGACTTTACAGGCTGTCTGTGAAGGCAAAAATAAAAAATAATAATAATGACGGGCCCCTAGTCCTTCCGGGGCCCCGAGGCTTCAGCCTAGTCAGCCTTATGGATAATACCGCCTTGACCCTTCATCAGACCCAAGCAGGAACAGAGATCCCCAAGTCCCAGCCTGAAGGTAAGAGGGGTATTGCAAAGAAAGCCGTCAGGTTGCCAAGGTACCATGCGGAATTCTGGTTGATCACAAGCTAAACATGAGCCTGCAGTGTGATGTGACTGCAAAGAAAGCTAATGCAATCTTAGGATGCATTAACAGAAGCTTTGTGTCCAGATCACGGGAGGTGGTAGTTCTGCTCTATTCTGCTATGGCCAGGCCTCATCTGGAGTCCTTTCTCCAGTTTTGGGCACCACATTTTAGGAAGGATGTTGACAAGCTCGAGCGTGTCCAGGAGAGGGCAACCAGGACGGTGAGAGGGTTGGAATCCAAGTTTTATGAGGAAAGGCTGAAAGAGTTGGGTCTGTTTAGCCTGGGAAAGAGAAGGCTTAGAGGGAACATGATTGCAGTCTTCAAATATTTGAAGGGCTGTCATGTAAAAGATGGAGCAGATCTATTCTCTCTTGCTCCAGATTGCAAGACTAGATCTAATGGGTGGAGATTACAAGGGAGTTGATACCGGCTAAATATCAGGAGAAACTTCCTAACTGTAAGAGCAGTGGAAAAGACTGCCTCGGGAGGTGGTGGATGCTCCTTCGCAGGACGTTTTCAAGCGGCGGCTGGATGACCATCTTTCGGGTATGTTGTAGGGCTCTCTTTCGGCTGTGCTCCTGCAGAGTGCGGGGGGTTGGACTAGATGACCTGCAAGGTCCCTTCCCACTCTAACATTCCATGATTCTATGAAATATTCTCAGCTTGATTAAAGCAAGGGATAAATGCTTAGGGGCAGAAAAATCACAGATGCTAATTTCCTAGCCCGCGCATTTCTCCCGTACTTTAATCAAGCTGTCTACAATTTGCTTGG